TCCCCCCTCGTCCTTCTCTTCATTAAACTGGACATACCCAATTCCAGCAACCGTTCCTTATATGTTTTAGCCTCCAGTCCCCTAATCATCTTTGTTGCTCTTCTCTGTACTCTTTCTAGAGTCTCAACATCTTTTTTACATCGTGGTGACCACAATGTAAACCTAGGCGTATTGACTCAGAATTAAAACTCAGCTGATGACACATGAGGTTGCAGACCTCACTTATAATATGAGCCACTTTAATAAATATATATTCATTACAGGTAGTCCTCAACTTACAACAGTTCCTTTAGTGACCTTTCAAAGTTACAACAGCACTGAAAAAAGTGACTTATGACCATTTTCACACTTACGACCGTTGTGGCTTCCCCATGGTCATGTGATCAACATTCAGACTCCTGACAACTCACTCATATTTATGATGGTTGCAGTGTTGTGTGGTCCTGTGATCCCCTTTTGCCACCTTCTGACATGCAAATTCAAATGGAGAAGCCAGATTGACTTAACAGCCATGTTACTAACTTATCAACTGCAGTGATTCACTTAACAACTGTGGCAAGAATGGTTGTAAAATGGAGCAAAATTCGCTTAACAAATGTCTCGCTCAGCAACAAAAATTTTGGGCTCAACTGTGGTCATAAGCCAAGGACTACCTGTATTTGTCTTTTCTGGACAAAGGAATGGGCAAAACTCAAGGACTGTTAAAAGTTGAAAATGAAAGTCAAATGAAGAATCCAATCCAACTGATCTGGATTCTAAAGGAGGGCTAAATATTTCAACTAATCGAAATCATTGGTGGAAAGTTGTGGTAGAACAAGGAAATGAACAGAGAGCAATGCAGTATGGGTTAGAAGATGATTTCTTAAAATCCCTTGTTTGCCTTGTAAAATTACATTACAATTTCCTTGTTTCACTGGACTTTCTCATGAGTGACAGACAGACCATGAACAAGAGAAGCCTGTCCTGTAATCTGTGGTATGTGTTATCCCACTGAGTGAAGTTTTCTGAAATAATTTCGACAACCCAGAAGGACGATACCTAAAAGGTAAAGGGAGTGAATCATCTTCATACTTGAATTATATGTTTCCCACAGTCTGAAGCGCAGCCCATGCATTCCAACTTGTTTTGTACATTTCAGCTCACCATCTTGGAAAGAAAACCGCATTCTTTGTGGTTCTACAAATGCTTGATGATCAGCAAAGTTGTTTCAAGCCCTCTGTGTTACACCAGGACATTATTGTTTTACATAAAAAGGATAACTGTGTAGGTGGATTGTGAAAAGAAGTATACGATTGTGGCTTATAATGTCAACAAATGTTGAGAGTAGCGTGTCACAGAATGTTACCTGAAGCATTGTATGCCTTTAGGTGTTATATAATTTTCTAAGGATGACTTAGAAAATATAACTCATGAAAAGATACGATATCACGTGCTCTCCTTAAGTAGGATAAATTATTCCTAAGGATTGGATTATTAATGATAAACTCAGCAAAGCATCTTTTTACTTACTATTGCATATTTTAACCGCAGCAAGATTGGCATACGCCCAAAAATGGAAAGGAAAAAAAAACCCCACTGAGGAAGAAATAATAAATAAAATTTTATCCTGCACCGAAATGGACAGGTTAACTCTAGAGATTAAAAATAAAACTGAAACAGAGTATTATGAAATTTGGAAAAATTTGTACGATTGATTAGAGATGAGGAGGATCGCTGAGATGATTATCGATTGACTAGTTGATATAATAAGGACTTCTTATTAGTACCTATATTAGGACACAACTGAAAGATATGTAAATACAACGTTGACGATTGAAAGATGGTTTATCAAAAAAATTACAGATGTTATACGCACAGTTTGTTATACTCTGTCCTGCTATAGAATGTATTTTAAGTTTCTGTTTTTCTTTCTGTAACATAAGGTAATACTAATAGCACTGTTGAAGCCAGGGAAGTTGAATCATATCCATTTTTGTTTTTAAAATGTACATTTAATAAAATTTGTAAAAAAAAACAACTATTCCTAAGGATTCTGTGTTTGGAATTGGGGGACTGGTATGATTAGTCCTGAAGGAATTGAAAAAGCCCTCCAGATCTTTTCTTACAAGCATAAGATAACCTGGTTAAGGTACTGTCTGATCCCTATTCCAGATTTTTCATTCAAACAACCCTGTTAGCTTTAAGCTACTGACCCATAGACCCAAGATAGCTTTATTTTCCTCTAATCCAAGATTTGGTTCTGTCTAAACCATCCAAAGACAATTAAGATCCCAGGATACAGCCTACAACATGTACAATATACTTACTCATCAAAATATTCTCTTTTGGAGTAAGCAATGCTATGCATAGGTAACAAAGGAGAAATAAAAAGCATGCCAAAAAAATTAAAATCCTGAGAGAAAAGGGGGAAAAAAGAAACAGTTAAATCTAATTCACATTGAATCATACATTATCTCAGTACAGCACTTCATATATTGCCTTTTGTTTTTAGTCTTCTCAACTCCCTCTTCCTAAGGATCTCATCAACTTCATACAATGAAGACTTTCTTGATCTTCACCTTCCTTTTGACCTATTCATTCTTCCTTTGTATATGCAATGGGATCAACATTCATTCTCTCTATGTAACCTCAGTGACCTTCCCTAGTACTGGTTACACACTTTGTATTCAATCAACATTCATTTATCACCCATTCATCCTTGATTACGTCTCTTCTTGTATGATCACAAACACTTCTTAGAAATACTTCTTCCTACAGTATTCAACATGCATTTATATTTCATCTCAAATATAACACCCAATTCTCACTCTGTACAACAAAGATGGTGGATGCATACTCAGCTATTTTTGATATTGCTGCCATCACTGTATTTGAACTGGTTTTACAATCCCATCACTCCAAAGCTGGAGTCTTTAGACTTGGAAGCAAACCTCCATGGTTCATTGTGAGTGAAGTTCTGTTAATGACTCACCAGTGTGTATGTCTTTCCATTGCAGCTTCCCACTGTTTGGGACAATAATGCACAAGGTGCTGACCTAGTGCTCTGGGGACGAGTATTTTCTAATATAGCTCAAGCAGTACAAAAGGTAAGTGAGCATGATTTAAAAATTTAAATATTGTAGTCCAATTCCTCTAAAAGCCATCTGGTTGAAGACAATTGTGTTGAGTATACTCTGGTAATTAGAGTAAATGGGCTTATTCAAGACCAATATCTTGAATACATAGTACCCAGGGCTGGCCACGTCATTCTGGCCCTGGAGACAGAAATTCTTGTAAATTTTCCTAAGATTAAAATTACTAAAATAACAAACAGTGTGGCAATGTTTGTGTTTTCCTCTAAGGATACCCTGGTATCTGCTACTTCACTCTGGCAAAATCCTCTAGTCTATTTCTCTCCACCCAGTTATCACTGAGGCAATTTAAAATCTCCACCTAGTTATCACTGAGGAAATTTAAAATCTCCACCCGGTTATCACTGTGGCAATTTAAAATTTAAAATCTATCATTACTAGTTTTTGGCACAACAATAATTGGGTAATTCTAGAAAATACAGTCAGATACTAGTGGAAATCTGACTTTTGCCTCCTAGTAGAGTCAGTCAGAGTGGAGGACTATAAGAGTACCATGTTTGTTTATTTTATTGTTTTTCTTTTTAGCCTCCAACCAAGGGCAGATTTCCTTATCTATATTTATGGTAGTGTTCTTTGATCCACAAAGGCTGCACTGGTTCTTTGTTTAAAGACCATTCATTAAGATGCTTTGTTTCATGGCAGTTAATTCACAGGCCAAGCGTTCGGGAGGTTTTGTCAACACTCCAGCCACTTCTTCAAGAGGAAGAACCAGCATCCTTACCGCAATTGCTAAGAATTTTATCTGACCTGTTCTGTGGTTACCCAGAGGGAGATGGATCCAGAATACTCTCTCTAAACTGGTATGAAGATAACAACTACAAGGTCTTCCTTGGAATTGACACTAAAGAAAAGGAATCCATTTATTTTTATGACAACTCAACCAGTAAGTCTCCCATTTGGATCCTGACTTCATGTGAGATTGATGGATTGGCTTAGATGTTGATAGTGTCCCTACCCCATTAGTCATTTGGACTGTTTGGCCTGAACAATTAGTGTTTCATCTGAGTTAAGGCAAAAAGCAGCTGCAATCATTAAGGTAGGGATCTGATAGCTGTGTATCTTTGCTGGCAATGCAAGGGTGCTGTCTTGTCTGAGACTGGTAATATTTTGAGAACTACCAGGTGCTTCAAAGAGAGCTACCAAAGACTCAGATGTGGGCAGTGGTGGAACTTCCAGCCACTAAAAAAAGATTTCTGTAAAACTGGCAAAATGGTTCTTGCAGAAAATTATTTTGTTAAAAAAAAAAAAGCTTACTCTAAAAAGCTCATTCCTGTGTTTAAATAACTGGGAACTGAATTCCTAAGTTTCTAAGTTACTTATAAAAATAATAAAGGCAGGATACAGACATAAAATTAGCAAAATATGCTATATGTCATTAGATTAAGTGCTATTTAATGCTTGTGAATGATCTGTGTAGTTTGGTTTTCACTGACCCTCCTATCTTTCTGCTTATTCACAGTATTGTGTAGATGGCCTTTACATATGAATTTACAAATAAGTTGCTTTAAATGACATCTTTTGCTTTTGATGTTGGCAACAATTTATCTGATTTTATAATTTTTCAATAACCTTCACAAATTCACAAATTTGTGAATAACTTTTATTTTTGTATACAGCAAGCTAGCAGTTTACCTTAAACTTTTTCCCAATTCTCAGGATCTTGTTCTGTGAAGAATTTGAACAAGTAGGATTGATCCAATAGTAAGGCAAAGTTTGTAATGTATATTTGAAAATAGAATTTGAAGTATGCCAAAATTGTTGTGAGAATGCAGATGCCAAGTTTGTTAATGTTTGCAGAAATGTATACAGGTCTATATAGGAATGAACAAAAAGTTTTCACTTTTGTGTGTGTGTCACCTGTGTATGTTCTGGGGACTCCAAAGGTAATCATTAAAACATTTGTTATAAGATTGGTGTTATGCTTCACATTATTGCTGTACAAGAACATATTTTATTATAATGAAGTCCAGTTTATCTTGAAGCACAGGACGTTTTGATTACAGAAATGTATGATGTGTTCTAATGTTATGTAAATATCAAAAATAGTAATTGTGAGAGGGACCTTGGAGTCCTAGTGGATGATCACTTAAACCTGAGCCAACAGTGTGCAGCAGCAGCCAAAAAAGCTAATCCTTGGTTGTATAAACAAAGGCACAGAATCAAAATCACATGAAATATTAGTACCACTTTATAATACCTTAGTAAGACCACACATGGAATACTGCATCAAGTTTTGGTCTCCACACTACACCAAAAAAAAAAAAATGTTGAGACTTTGGAAAAAGAGCAGAGAACAGCAACTAAGATGAATAAAGACCTGGAGACTAAAACTTATAAAGATTTAGGTTTTAGGATTTTAGAGAAAAGAAGTACTAGGGGTGACATGATAGCAGTATTCCAGTATCTGAGGAATTGCCACAAAGAAAAGGAGGTCAACTTATTTTCCAAAGCACCAGAAGACAGGACAAGAAACAATGGATGGAAACTAATCAAGGAGAGAAGCAACTTGGAATTAAGGAGAACCTTCCTAACAGTGAGAATAATTAATCAGTGGAACAGCTTGCCTTCAGAAGTTGTGGGTGCTTCATCACTGGAGATTTGTCTGAAATGGTAGGTTCTCCTGCTTGAGCAGGGGGCTTGGCTAGAAGATCTCCAAGGTCCCTTCTATTCTATTCTATTCTATTCTATTCTATTCTATTCTATTCTATTCTATTCTCTGACAGAACTATTTTTTAAATTTTGCACAAATTTCCTCAGCTTTCAAGATGTCAAGAGTTAGGTGAGAACCTAAAAAAAAATAAAAGAACAGAAAAAACAGGAGGGGAGATAAAAATGTGTCTGCTGCTGAAGCCATGTCTTCTGTACAGTGCTCTCAATAAATGTATTATTCCTCTTACCTAACTTTTATTGAAATGCTATTCCTCTGGGTTTTTTTTTTTTTACCAAGAAGCATGGCAGATATACAAATACAGAACAAGTTGTTCTGCTCAGTCTGTTCAGTTCCTAGGGATGGTGATTTTCTTCTAGTAATATGAAAAGACCCTTTCAGGAGAATAGACTCTGCGGGATGTATTAAACAATGAGACTAGCTCAGCATTATATAATGTAAGTTTTCTTCCCCCCCCCCTTATCCTCTTCTAACAGCACTCTTTTGTAATCAGTTGATACAAACAATGGAATCAAACACTTTAACCAAAATAATTTGGAGGACTATGAAACCATTGCTAATGGGGAAAATCCTCTTTGCTCCTGATTCACCTACAGTACAGAAGATACTGAAGAATGTAAGAATTTCTCCCCTCCTTTCATCCCTTTCTAATTATTTCTATGGACAGTATTTTTATTTGTTTGTTTATATTTCATGCTTCTAGACTGCCCATCTCCCTCCCCTCTTAAAGCAATTTAGCAGAAAGGTCTACTCAACAAACCAATTAAGTTATTATCACCAAAATATATTTCATTCTCAAAGCATTTTCTACTTCTTGTTGCTTTAAATACACACACACACACACACACACAGAGAGAGAGAGAGAGAGAGAGAGAGAGAGAGAGAGAGAGAGAGAGAGAGAGAGAGTCCTGAGTAGTTAGGGGTGTAAAGAAAAACATGTTTTTCTTCCTAATTCTTCCTAAGTCAGTGCCTCATCATGTTCAGAGAATTTCAGGAGAAATTTGAAAGAATACTTATTGACTTGTACTTCCAAACGTGGGAAGCTGTAGAGAACTCATCTCATTTCAAAGAATGTCACTTTTGTTTACAAAATTGATGTGAGAAATTTAGCAAAATCAACAAATATAGACACCACCTCCTCCATGTTCCTTTTCCTCATTCAATATATTTTAAATTCCTCAGGCAAATTTCACGTTTGAACAACTTGAGCGCTTGAAATTCTTGACTAAAGCATGGAAAGAAGTGGGACCTCAACTGTGGTATTTCTTCAATGACAGTGTACAAATGAACATGATCCGAGTAAGTACAGATGGTTTGCTTAGCCTGGAAAGTCAACTAACGTACAATAACTTAGCATGGAACATTAAAGTAAAAAAAAACACCTTTGAATACGAATACATCTAAGAATCTATAAAGATTGGCCCATGTGCTCTCCAGGTTGACCATCTCTCAGTAAATGCTCATTGAGAAGATGCAGCAGATTTGTTCTGTATTACTCTAGAACAGAGGTCCCCAACCTCCGGTCTGTGGACCGGTACTCGGCCATGGCATGCCAGCAACTGGTCCGCACAGACAAGCAAAGCCCCATCCATGGGATGCAGGCAGCATACAAAACAATGCGCCCTCCGGTCCGCGGAAAAACCTCTCTCTATGTGTTGTGTTCTTTGTATTCCCCCCCCCCTTAATCCCCTATGCATATCCTGATCACCCATTAAGGGTGATTGCCCTTCACCATTGATCGCCCATTAAGGGTGATTGCCCTTCTCCATCTGCATACAGTTTCATGCCCGTTGCTGGTTGGCTAACTAGCAACAGGGTCTTGCCAGCCAATGGAATTGTGTGATTACAAG